GGGTCTTCCTTCATTTTTCTATAGATGTATATCCAGTTCTGCAAGCACTACTTATTGACTATCTCTTCACCTTTTAATGGACTTTGACCTTTAATCAAAGATCAGCTGCCCATAGCTGCATGCATGGATTTATGGTATAAAATCAAATGACATATTGCAGTAGGTAAATATGCTGCCAAAGACCTCTTTAAAGTGTTAAAGAGCAAAGATACCAGTTTGAGGACTAAGGTGCATCTGACCCAAGCCATGGTATCTTCAATAGCTTCATATGCATGTGAAAGTTGGACAATGAATAAGGAAGACTGTAGAAGAATTAATGCATTTTAGTTATGGTGTTGGAGGAGAATATTAGAAGTACCATGGACTGCTAGCAAAACAAACGAATCTGTGTTGGAGGAAGTTCAGCTAGAATACTCCTTAGAAACCAGAACAGTGAGACTTCATCATCTAAGGAGCTCTGGTAGCATAGTGGTTATGAATTGGCCTGTAAACCACAATGTCAGCAGTTCGAAACTACTAGCTTTTCTGCAGAGAAAGATGTGGCTTTCTGCTCCTGTAAAGATTTACAGCCTCAGAAATCCTGTACAGGGTTGCTATGAGTCAGAACCGACTCCGCGGCGCATAACCACCACCACCATCTCTCATACTTCATACACATTATCAGCAGGGACTGGTCCCTGGAGAAGGACATCGTGCTAGGTAAAGTGAATGTCAGTGGTAAAGAAGGAGACCTCCAATCAGATAGACTAGCACAATGTCAGGGGCAATGTCTGTGGCATGACAGCAATTGTGTGGCTGGCACAGGACTGGGCAGTGTTTCATTCAAGTGTGCATACGGTCACTGTGAGTCAGAACCAAATCTACAGCACCTATCAACAACAATAAATACTGTCCCATTTAACTCTTAGGCTTTCTTAATTTTTCTTCATTCTTTTTATGATTGTTCCTCAAACAGGTTAGTGTCGAGGAATTCATCTTCTATTTCACTGTTTCTTCTTTTGTTTAAATTCTTATGTAGAATTCCATTAAGTTATCTATTTCTGATATTTTATTGTTAATCTTCTGGATTTCTAGTTGTTTTTGTATGGCTTTAATTCCTTACTTATTTTGTCTTATATTGTTTTCCTAAATTCTGTTAGTGTTTTGTTTGTGTTTTCCTTGAATTCTTAAATTGTTTACCTATTTTTCTAGGGTTTTGCTTGTGTTTTCCATTATTTCTTTGAGGATCTTATATATGTCTTTTCAGTTCCTTATCAAGTATTTATATTACCATATCTTCTGGAGGGAGATTTTCTGCCTCTTTGTTTTGGTCTTTTATTTGAAGCATTTCAACCTGTTACTTTGAATGATTTTCTAATGTCTTCTCTATGAAGCATGAGCATGCTATTTTATTTCTCAATTGATTTTATGTTTGTTTGTTTCATCCTGTGTTTTCCAACTTTTTTTGTTTTGAGAAATCAGAGTAGATAGATCAGATAATGCTTTGCTGGGTGTGTGTCTGCTAGCACAGGTGTGCTTGCTACCTGTCTTCAGGGTAATGACTACAGGACAAGCCTGTGTCACTGCTTACTGGGCATGAAGACAGCTGAGGAAGAGTTGTGTGGGTGTTAGCCACCACCTATTGGTACTCCAGTGGTTTGGGTACACTCAACACTGCTCTCTGGATGGGAGGGTCAGCAGCTGTGGCAAATGGTAAGCATATGGAGTGTCAGAGCATTTGAGGTGAGCAGGGCTGCAGGCGGAGGACATGAATGCTCATCTGGGGACACCAGAGGACTCTTGAATCACTTAGCAAGGCAGGGCAGGGGTCAGTGATTGGAGATATCAGAGAGTTCCTATGCCACTCAGTGGGAAAGGTCAGCAAATGGGAGTAGTTGGGATTATCAGGGATGTTGGCTTGCTTCTGCACTGCTCGTTGGAGTGGGTCAGCATACAGAGGATACGGTCAGGCAATGGAGGGCTCCAAAACTCTCCCATGATGCTCAGCAGGTAACCGAGAGCTCCAGTGTGCCATCATTTGGCAAGTGGGGGAGGATGAGTAAGGCTGGGTAAGAAGGAAAAAAGGGATTTTCGTACAATGTCCAGGGCTGGTCAGGGCTGCAGTCATGGGATATTTACCTCTAAACACCCAGGGTTTGTAGAGAAGGGGAACATGTTCCTTTGCCTGTAACTAGGAATAGAGACCTGGTCCTGATTAATTGCAGGGGAAGAAGGGCTGCTAATACAACAGTAGGGTGGGGAACCTCCTATTGACACCCTGTGTGCACTACACACTCCACTTGTCAGGGAGTGCCACTGTTGTGTGTCCCTATCGATGGGTCTTGACTCTTGCCCTGATCTGTGGATGCCAGAGTTCCTGGAAATCTTGACCACCTACTTGTCTTTTTCCTCCTTAATTCCAGTTTATGTCATGCTCACCTTGCTTCACTGAAGGTATGTCAGCAGTTTCTCTGTCTTCTGTTGGGAATTCTGTGCATTTGCTTTTCTATGCTTCTCTCCTGAGATCACCACTAGCTTTGTTCCAATATGGCCACGCTGTACCAGGTCAGCTGGCAGGACATCTCCACTCCATATGTCTCTTCATTTAATTAATTATTCTTTCATTTGATCCTCAGAGCTTCAGAATTGTTCTCTGTATCTGGTTTCACTTTGTCTCTAGGGTCTTTATTGTGGAAGGACATCAAGGTATGTCTGAATAGTCTGACATCTTGGCTACTCCTTAGATTGTTTTTTAATGAAAGAACATGTGAACGTGTGCATATGCTGGTGGAAATTATTTCAGAGACAGGGACAACTTGAGGACTCAGAAAAGAGAAGAAATAGCTTAAAGGAACAAAGTAGGGGTGAGAGAGTGTGGGAGAAATCATCACCTTCCTCCCCTGTAACTGGATGGAAGAAAAAGATGATGAATTGCTCCAGTTTCAGGTGGAATTGTGCTTTAGTGGCAGTTCAGGAGGTTATATGGTGGGAGGAGGGATGTGGTTGGTTTGCTAGAGGAAAAAAAAACCATGCTATAATTGTCTTCAAGAGTGGAAAACATGCTTGTTAGGGAAGTAAAGAAAAGGTGCTAAACAGTGTTAAATGTCCATTGAGATCTGTGAGTGGTTCACAACCAGGAGCCATTTTATATAACTTCTCCTCCAATGATGTTTGTCAATGTCTGAGACATTTTTGGTTGTCACAATGGGAGAAAGGAAGGATGCTACTGACATTTATTAATGAAAAGCTGGGGATGCTACTATGTGTATGCATGGGAAAGTGTCCACAACAAAGAATCATGAGGCATAAAATACCAGTAAGAGCAGAGGTTGAAAAACCCAGTGAATGGTTGAAGAAAATGGTCATTGTGAGTGAGGAGGTGAAAATGCAGGCAACCAAGTGTTTGGATGGATCTCTCAGATCTTCTGGAGAATGGAGTGCTTCTCACAGAATAGCTTATTAGTAATAATGCATATCATTGGTTGATAGCTTACTATGAGTTGGATACTTTATATGCATATTAACTCTCTTTTGTCCAAGAAATGCCAAGAGACCATTCCAGAGTAAATAAAAAATTTAAATTGACAGGTTTTTTAGACCAAAGCCTATGCCCTTTGCACTGTACCATGACTTTGCCCCTACGTTGTCATAAAATCTGAAAAGCTTGATGAGCTTAACAATGGAAATATTTACAGTGGAAATGATGCGTAGTGGGGAGTGAAGATGAAAGGGAAAACTGAGAGGGGAGGAGGACCTGGCAAAAATAAAAGATTTATTTTACAGCTCTTCCCACCCCTGTAAATTCTTCTTATGATGGTCTTATGCCACAATTAATAAGGAAGTCATGGAGGAAGGAAATCACAAGAAAAACCTCCTTAATGGTTTCCAAATGTATGTTCATAATATTTATCTGTAGCCTACAATATCGCTTTTATTACATGTACCTTTTTCATTTTGTTCATTAAAATGCACAAAATATATATGAATGTTGACTGTAATGTTAAGAAAACAGCATTAGTAGCTGGCCACCAAAAATCTTTGAGAACTATTAGAGTTAGCTGCCAAGAAGATTCTAATATTTTCTCCCAAACACAATTCATAGGTTTCCAAAGTGCACTTCACGATATCCAAGGTCTCTAATTTATGCTGCTCTTCTAGTCACACACACATACACACCAATTGCACTAAAAATACACACACTGTGTAGGGAATGAACTGTAGCTCCACATGTTCCCTATTGCTTCTCTGATATACTCATTTGGTAGCTCAAACTGTGTGTTTAGAAATAAAGCTACGGCCAATGGGGTACTGGTCTCTTTAGCTTATCATGCAAGCCTGTTCCTCTTTTTCCATCCTTCATATAATCATGTCACTTTCACAGATCTAAAAAACAGTTTCCCCTACTCTTCATCACTTAGATAAGTATAGAAGAAGTCTGAGAACCGTTTTTCACTGTCTCTGCATCTTCACCTGGCAGCTCAGAAGCTTATGTTCCTTCAATCATATTCCTCCTCCTATCTGGCTCATAAGGAGCTCTGGTAGCGTAGTGGTTACGCATCGGGCTGTGAACCTCAATGTCAGCAGTTCAAAACTACCAGCTGTTCGGTGGGAGAAAGATGAGGCTTTCTGCTCCCATAAAGATTTACAGCCTCGGAAACCCTGTTCAGGGTCGCTATGGGTCCAGACCGACTCGACGGCACTTAACAAGAATCTGGCTTATGGAGTCCTGGTGCGGCGCTGTGGGTTAATGCACTGGACTGCAAAGTCAGTTTGATCTCCAAGGTTGGCGGTTCAAGCTCACCAGCCGCTCCTCAGAAACCCTATGTAGGGTGGCTATGGGTCGGAACCAAGTGGACAGCACTGGCTCATGGACCTTATGTGGAAGAGGAGCTGCAGACTTGCAGTCCTCTTGGCCCGTGCCTTCTCAGTTGAAGTGGGCTTGAAGAGGACTCTCATTCAAGACAACAATTGCAGTGCTTGTAACAAGAAATCATAAGGGAGAAAATTCCAAAGTGCTTTTCTTAGAGCTTATATAAGCCAAAAAATGTCTTAGATTCCTCAAAATTGACCAACGAGAGCAGAGATACGTTGACATATAAATGGTCAGCACTGGCAAGACTGAACACGGCTCCCAAGTAGCTGCTGCGTGCCCACATCTGGCCAGGGGTGCAGTAGTTCATCATCTTCTCTTCCATCAGCACTAGATCCTGGGGATATTTAGAGTTTTTCATGTAGATTTTGTGGTTCAGGGGCTGGTTTTCACAGGAATAGCCCCGGAAATTCACTTTAGAATACACAAAGTAGAGTCCAGTGTCATTAATCACAAGGCTGCCCTTCTTATATTTCACCCCAGAGACCAAGGCATTTCCATAGGTATCTTCCCATTCCAGAGGGATGGATCTTGAGTTATGTTTTCCTGAAGTCAAATCAGAGAAGATCTATCAGCCAGAAATGTTCACACTCCAACAAATAAAACTTCCAAGCCAAAATGGAGACTTACCTCAGGTAAATGTTTTAACCAGAGTGAAATAGTACATACAGACTAGCTGAGGGTTCAAACTACAGTCATCACTAAATTCCTTCAACAATTTTGTCATATTTCCTCATCACTTTCTGCCTCAATTTTATCATCCACACAGTGGACAATAAAATCTATCCTTCCTCAATTCCAGTGAGAAATTATTGAGATGTTAACTATCTGGTACAAAGATTTCACAAATTCTACAGTCCTATATGAAGTCCATGGAGTCCTGGTGTGGCACTGTGGGTTAATGAGCCGGACTGCAAAGCCATTTGAACTGCAAGGTCGGCATTTCAAGCTCACCAGCTGCTCCTCGGAAACCCTATACGGGGTTGCTATGGGTTGGAATCAACTCGACGGCACTTAACAACAACATATGAAGTACGTGGAGTCCTGGTGTGGCACTGTGGATTAATGTGCTGGACTTCAAGGTCAGTCAGAACCATAAGGTCAGTGGTTCAAGTTCACCACGTGCTCCTAGAAAACCCTATACAGGGTCACTATGAGTTGGAACCCACTTAAAGGCACTTAACAACAACAATATATGGAGTCCTGGAGTCCTGGTGTGGTGCTGTAGGATAAAACAATGGCCCAAAATGTTGATTTGAACTGCAAAGTTGGCAGTTTAAACTCACCAGCTGCTCCTCAGAAACCCTATACAGCGTCACTACCTATGAGCCAGACTGACTCAAAAGCACTTAACACTGGAGTCTTATTGGGGCACTGCAGGATAAGTGCTGAACCACAAGGTCAATTTGAACCACATGGTCGGCAGTTCAAACCCACCAGCTGCTCTTCGGAATCTCTATAGGGTTTTTATGAGTAGGAGTCAACTCAGATAGCACTTAACAACAAAAATAATAGCCCTGTACTGGGAAGGACTGAAGTAATCATCTAGTTCAACATCTCACCTACACTTGTCAATTAGAGCTAAAATCCCCTCTCCATTGTATCCTCATAGCATTATGTGCATACCTTAATCATAGTTACCACTCCAGTACTGAAATTATCACTGATGGGTCTATCTCTCCCTATTAAAACGCATGCTCTTTGAAGGCAGGAACGATATCTTCATATGCCAAGACTTGACACATAGCAGAGCTCAATAGCTCCTGGTGGACTTCACTAGATCATCCTGCAGTCTCTGCCTAAGTAATTCCATGGACAGTGTCTTACCACTTTCTGTGAAATTGATTTACTTTTCAGATATTTATGGACTTTTCACTAAGAATGCCTACCATTCTTCTAGCAAATTGTTTCACTCTACTACACAATCACATGCTGAAAGTTCACAAATGCCTGGACTGAGCCTCCTTTCTCAATCACACAAGACAAAGCAGAGTGAAGGTCTTTTGAAACACCAGGGAAGAGCCAACAAAAGTAATGTATTTGTTCTGCCTTCCCTGTTGGACCTGGGCCCCCCGATTCTTAACAGGTCTTTGGAATGACTGAAACATGTGAGCTCTATATGGGCAGGGATGCTATTATAGAGACTTTAGAACAAGGCCTTATCCATAGAAAGTACACAATCTATGAGAGATTGATGTGCCTAGAAAAATGTGATTCATCTTGGGCTCCAAGTACTGTCACTAGAAGGTAACAACTCCCTCAGAGAGCAGTAATGGAATTTTGCTTTCCTCCAGAACCTTTTCCAAGCCCTATTCTGTGCAGACTATTCCTTTCATATACAGACCTGTTAAATGGGCCACTTTCTTCAGCTGCTGGGTTTCAGAAGGTGGACTGGGCTGACCTGTATCATAGAAAAATGAAAGATATATATAAATGTGAGATAACAACTATTATTTGGGTGAGGTGTTAAACAAGGCAGTTAAATAAAAGAGATATTAAACAGCTTAAGTAAATGGCAACCGTCTATATTAATCATGCAATTCCAGACTGTAGAACTCAAAGCATCCTGAAATTTAGAAAAAGAGAAATAAAAATAAACCAAATTAAGATGTACAAAAGTATGTTGTTGTTACGTGCCATGGAGTTAATTCCAACTCATAGTGACCCTCTATAGGATTTCAGAGGCTGAAGATCTTTACAGGAGCAGAAAGCCTTTATCCTTCTCCCACAGAGTGCTTGGTGAATTTGAACCACCAGCCTTGTGGTTTGCAGTCCAGTGCTTCTCATACAGAGCCACAGTGCTTCCGTGTAAGAATAAATTTGTTGTTTTTGTTAAATGCCGTCAACTTGGTTACAACCCATAGCAAACCTCTATAGGGTTTCCGAGGAATAGGTGGTAAGCTTGAGCTGCTGACTTTGCAGTTCAAATCACTGTGCAGTCCAGTGCATTAACCCTCAGTGCCAGACCAGGACTCCAAAGGATAAATATATACATATTGTAATGTTATAATGAAGCATAATTAATATGAAGGGTGATATGTAAAGGATTGTCATATTGGCTACTTCTGATATTTAGATATTCATTGCGATCCTCTAACCACAAATGACCCTCTGAAGTAGTAAATTAACAAACGAACTTAAAAGTTAGGTGACTTGTCCAAGAAGACCCAGCTGTTCAGTGTCAGAGATGGAACTGACCCTCAGATCTCCTAACTCTAAATCCATGGCTCTGTCCACTCCACCTCTGCTGTCCTTAACCAGTGTCAACTTACCCAATAAGCAAGGAAGTGTGGGCTTACTTGTGCTTACTTACTAATCTGTAGTGAACAATTTCACATTTTTCACCACATTAAAGATCCTACTTCTAGGTAGGATTAGCATCTGTGTCTCTCCCAACCCCACAGCACTTTCCTATAGAATCAAAGTCTCTTTTCAAATTTACAATCCCTGACAGCAAGGTAAGCAAGCACAGGCTTACTTGTGCTTATTTATTAATCTGTAGTGAATATTTGACATGCTTTCTTGATATGTGAAACTATAGTAAGCAAGCACACGTAAGCCTGTATGTGCTTATCTTGCCTTTTGGTTCTCCAGTCCTGAGATCTTTTCAGTCATGAAGCTAGATAAGTCCATGTCAGAGGAGAAGTGAACCATGTCAGCATTTAAGAGGTTGTAGAGCAAAGACAGCAACAAAGAAGGAGAAGAAGGAATGACCCACAAGATAGGAGAAAAATCGGGTCCTGGAAACCAGGTGAAGAAAGTGTACCAAAGAGTAGGGATGATCAATAATGGCAAATGCTGTTGATAGAGTGAGTGAAATGAGAGCAGAGAATTACTCATCACAATCAGCAGAGTATAGGTCATTGGTGAACACAGAACAGAGACCACATGTGTTGCATAACTTTATATGAGGGCACCTCAAAAGGTTCATGGAAAAATGGAATTAAAAGATTATGGAATTTTTCCACGAAATTTTGGGTGTACTTTTTATTCTCATTAAAGGTACTCAAAAATAATCTGCCAGATAAAACAGAAATAAATCAGATGGAATACATCTTGAACTTTTATGATGATTGTTTTCCTGCCCCAGGATATTTGCACATGTCAGGCCTATTGCCAGAATGCTCTCCTCCAGGTCCACACTCTATGTCTCACCAATGCCCACTCTGTGGCACACATGCAGATATACAGATACACAGTTCTTCACTTGGCAGGCTCTTTATCCTTCCAGTATCAGCATAAACGGTCTCTCCTTAGAAGGGACTTTCTAGACCACTTGACCTTAAATCACATTTAGTACAATTTGAAATAATGTGATTTGTTTGTTTTCTTGATTTTATTCATCTTCCTCTTCACCTACCTCACCACCATCCCCCAGACTCAGTCTTTCTTGTTCTGGGCCATCACCTAGCACCCAACTCCATCATGTTGATTTTGACTCAGAGAAACCCTATCACCTGTGTAAACCTGGGGCCCATAGGACAGAATAGAACTGCCCACATAGGGTTTCCAAGGCAATAAATCTTTACAGAAGCAGACTGTCACATGTTTTCCCCACAGAGTCGCTGGTAGATTCGAACAGCTAAGCTTTCCGTTAGCAGCCTAGCACTTACCCCACTGCACCACCAGTCTGTTAAACTAAGCGTACTGTTTTGTAACTTTTTTTTTAACAATATGAAATGAATAATCCTCATGGTGCTAAGCCCCCCATGTCCTTCTAATATATAGTTTGTAATCACCGCATATTATTCTCTCATCTAAACACACTATGAAATATTTAACTAGTCTTTTATTATGAGGCACTGAGGTTTCTTCCAAATCACTTATTATAAACAATCTTATAAGGAAGGGATAAACATTCTTCTCTATAAGTCTTCAAGCATATCTCTGATGATTTTCTCAAGACAACTCGATATTGATTTGATTACAAGGTAAATTAACAGTTTTAAGGTTATTGATATATCTTTTTCCAGAACCATAATGCTCTTTAGAAAATTAAAGCAATTTACATTGCCACTGCATGCCAACTAATGATGAAACAAGCTCTTTTCTCTCACATCTTTGCCAACCTGGGTATTATAGCTTTGTGGTGTTTTTTTGTTTTTGTTTTTGCTTTTTTTTTTAATCTTTACCAATTTGATGGGTGAAAATCAGTATTCCCTTTTCTTAAAAATGCATTTCTTATTAATAAGGCTACTAATTTGATTTCCATGTGATAATTCACCAAGTTTGGGTCTATCTAGAGAAGATAAGTGCTTCTTGGATTAGGCAGACCTGAGTCATCTGTTCATTGGATGTTTCCTTACTTAAGTGACTCCACTGAGTAGGTGAGAAGAGAGTAATAAGGCACCTGTTTCACCAACCACATTCAACTGAATTCCAAAGCTTTTTCATTTTAGAAGTCCTCCAAAGGCTTCATTTTTCTAACAAATATTTTCACTCTGCTCAGATACATTTGGACTTTCTAGCATTTAGAGACTCTGACCCAGAACAAGGGACTAGAGCATCCTAACTTTTCCTACTAGAGCTTATAGTCTAGAGCAGCAAGATACCTAGGTAACCTGCAATAGGTACGTACGTCTTAAGAACTCAAACAGACTTCACTTAATGGACAGTCAGTGCTGCCATGTGTGTTCTTCTCCGTTTCTAAGGATGAGATGTGCATATTTGCAGAGGCATCTCTTTTCCATCCTTATTTCTCACACTACAGCCATCACAGAGGAACAGGAGTTTCCGTGTGCTATAAAACACCAGTCTACATTCTGGAAAGATCTGTGAATGACTAGGTTTCAAGAACTGTGTTCCATCTAGTCCCAGGTCCATACTTTATACCTGTCTAGTATTTTGTTTCTTTTCTGGAAAATGAGCTGGACCAAATAAGCTCTAGGCTCCCTTCCAATTCTAATCAAATCTAATGAGCTCAATGATCTTAATTTAAGACAAGTTGGGAATACCCTAAAAATCTGTCTACCACTTCAAAAACAGCACTCTGAAACTTCATGGGGTCATTGTTCACCTTCTACCTGTCCTGGAGTTCATACAAAGGACTTTCCTTTATTACTGAAGGCAGCACATGGTTGCTTCTGAAGGTAAAGTTGGACTTTCCTTTGAATAATAGGTAGACATCTCCCAAGCTCCCTAGTAATTCTAAAAGAACCATTCTAATGCAGGTGATTGAATATACACTAATTTTTTTAAATAAAATATTTTTT